ATGTTAGGATGTATCTTTTCCTTTAATTGCTCTCTGGTTCCCTCTAGTTAACCTTCAAAGCACAGTCTTATCTTTTGTTTATTTTCAGAGCCAAAACTTTCCCACAATAGGTTTTCTGACAAGTCCAAAATCATCTGCTGTATTTTTATAAAATTTAAAACAGTCCATTAAAAAACCCTATTCTTTCAGATACAACTGGCCCTTTAACTGTCCTCAGTCTACATTCTTAACTCTCTTTCGCTGTTTCCAAAAGTTAAGATTTTTCTTTTTAATCTTTAAACTTACCTAAATCTCCTTTCTTCCAGGATAGGAAATTCTCCCAATGTACAGGAATTTGCCTTTCAGAAGGTTTTTAATGTCCAAGTAAATCAGTAATAAGTAGTTTCGAATGGTAATTAAAAGAGGAAGTGAAAGCAAATCTAGTGCCCTTTTGAAATAAATAAATAAATAAGCAAGCAAGCATTTCTGAAGAGAGATTACTTTGGGGATAGAACATTCTTATATTTTGAGTGGGATATCTCCATATGGTGGAATATGCCCAACAATTTTTGGAAAAAAGATAAAGTATTCCTTCATTTTAACATTTTATTATAAAAAATAAAATAATGAATTAAATATAACTCTAACTCTTCACTCATCCACTTTCGCTTCAACCTAAAAAGCTATAGATGCTCTGGTCTTTTTTATTCATAAGGGAGTCACTCCAGCCCTTTAATCATTTTGGATGCTTTTTTTCCCCCCTTTCCTTCTCTTCCCATCTCTTCTCTTCTCAGACATTTCCCAGCTTACAATATCCTTTTTCAAATATGGTGACCTGGTCCCACACAAATGTATATACGTCTGCATTATCATTTAGGCAGTTTATTTTCAGTTTGCTTCCTTATTATTTAGACTTGCCAATCATTTTTTAAAGAAGTTTGTTTTTTTAAATTTAAATATGTTACAAGTATCACTATCTCATCATCTTTGCATTACTATACAGGATATAATCTGTTTTGTATAAACTATGTAATCCTCTCTCTAATATGTAGCCTCCTTATAAAAATGATGTAATAAGGATGAATATCATGTAAGCATCTAAAAAACTATATTTGGGGATAATCAAGGGCCAAATAATTAAACTTGTCAAAGGATGAAAAATTTATCCTGTCACTGGAATCTACATAAAATGTGTGATGTTATGTTATGTTATATTTTATATATATTCTCTGTCAACACAACCAGTAGTTGATAAGATTGCAATTCAGTGATGATCCAGTGCAACAAACCCTGTCATATCCCAGGTCAGTTAGTGATTCAAGATATCTTTCTTAATTACAGAATATTTTACAGCATTTGTATCTATAAATATTCAAAGCATCAGAAATGATTAGCAAGTGAAAATTAATAATTAACTAGTTAATTTGATTAACTGGCATTATTTACTGCTAATATTAGCCTCAGAAAGTTAAAAGAATAACTTCAAATAGCCAGAAACCAGTCTTTGGTCCAAAAGTCTATGCTCAAATAATATTTTCAAATCTTTAAAAAAAACCAGCAAATGTAGCCACTTTTTCTTTAAATGTGCAGTGAAATATGTTTGGTTCAGACTCACCAGCAAGATGGATACAGGATCCTAACTCATGATATAATCCATAATCCATTTCAAGTTGCCAGGCAGTATTGAAATAGTATGTTGTTGCTTAACATAATCAGTATTGTTCACCAAGCTTTTGACATTTCTTTAGAATAATTCACTTGAAGTCTACTCTATTGCAGGTTTATTTTATTTATTTATTTATTTATTTATTTTAT